TCAATTTATTTTCAGTTTTTCCATACATATTATGCGATGTTACCCTTGAGTGTTCGCTCAGGGGCTATTTCTATTTAATATTCAATTTTGAGTATTGATTTCAGGAAAATTCAATTCAACGCTGTCGAGGACTCCATGTCTCCACGGTCTTACACCGGGATCGACTAAGCGAGTACGACAAATGTTGACAATAGAAGGCTTTGTCGCAGACTTTACACCTTCTCAATTTCTTGAGAACGGTTGATGAAGCTCGACAAGGAATATGGAATGAAGAGACGGTGTACCCGCCGAGATGGAATTTCTTGACTTCAATCCAAATTCTCGATTACAGCAAGACGGGAGACTTAGTCGCATGCTCCGTGCATTCTCAGTCGACATCGGTGATTAACCTAGACAAACTCAATATAGTGTTCGCGGAGGCCAATAAGGGGAATCTAGCGCTATCTCTAATCTCATCGAGAACGGTCAAGTGAGCACGATAGTAGTTGTTCCAAAGTCTTCGATCGAGAACCTCAACTCGTTCATTTGCATTGAAGTCGGGGGCTACTATCAGGGTTATGGTTATGGATACCACATACCCAATAGTAATCGACTAAGCTCGGCAGAGCCCACCACATACCATGTCTTATACGGAAACAAACCTCGTATATAGAAGAAGTTCCGGATAAGGAAGGATATATAGTTCTACATGGAAACGATAAGGACTAATCGGGTTGTATCCATATTGGTCTCCCTAGTTTTACTTGGACAAGGGGGCACCTCTGGGTATAAATACAAGCCCTCCTAGGAGGAGAGAGGACGCACCCACCATAGACGCCACAAAGCCACGAGCCAACACACGTTGCCAAACATCAACATCCAAGATTAGCCTAGACATACCCCATCCGGTGCCTACGGAAGCCGGCAAGAGGGATCTAGCGTCATCTCTGATCTCGACGAGTTCGTATTTGAGGAGGAAGACTACCCTGTTGTTGACTATGAGTTAGTTATCTAGCCGCCAAGTCGATGACAGTTAGATAGGTTATCCCAAATATTGTATTTGTGTGATCCAGATGAATAAAGAGTAACACCGGCTTCGGCCAATATGATGTAGGGCTATTACCTATCAAATAAGGGGCCCGAACCTATATAAAAATCCCTGTCTCCATCTCTTTTATCTCAATCTCGCATATACCCTGGTACCAACAATCCCCATACCATCCAAATACCATAGTCGCGATCTCAAACGTCAACAGTATTAATTCCTTATAAAGGAACTCTCGGTCACAATATATATAGGACTACACATACGAAATAAATGTGTTCTTATGACGAATATGTAAAGTGCAACATTCAATACATGCTCAAAACATCTCAAATGGTTTACTGAAACCAAAATTAGAAAAAAAAACAAGTTCGTGCAAACACACAGTAACATAATCTATGTTTTGTCTGTTGCCACTACCCTAAGAACCATCTAACCATTGGAGACAAATAGTCCCTGATTCCCTAACTTTTAATGGTTTGTAATCACTAGTTATTGACACCATTTTAATGATCATGCATCACAAGTCAGTTAATTACACAACATGCGCACATCCCATGAGTGCGACCTAAGATAGGCTTAAAAAATTGGAGACTAACGGTAAATCGCTAACCCCATTAAATTATATTGAAGGGACGCACAATATTCATGGGCACTATGATTAGAATCCTAGTGGTACAATACTGTGGACTCCACCAACACATCCTCATAGTTCTCTCAACATTGGTGTCTCTACATAGTTTAAAATGTCTTAGGCAAATGCCTTTACATATCAAGCACATTCTAAGGGCATGTTTGGTAGAGCTCCAACTTCTAAATTTAGTTTCAGGAGTTGGGTCTGGAGTAGAGTTGTGAAGCAGCCTAAACCCAGCTCCATCTCTCTAGTTCATTTTGTGAGAGCGCTCCACCCAGCTCTGTTCCCATATTAGGTGAAGCTGAAACTGTTTGGTTGGGCTCCAGCTCCAGGAAAGGTGGAGCTGGAGCTGGATCTGTGGGCCCTAAAATGCCAAAAGAATGCCTCTACATGATAAAATTAAAAAAATGTGTTGAAAATGTCTCTAAAGTGTCTTGAGAGTAGAAGTTTTCTAGACGATTTGTAAAGTGCCTCTATGCTATAAAACTCCGAATTTTGGAAGCAATTTACAAAACACTTCTACAAAAGTGCCTCTACATGAGGTCTTTGCTGTATTTGCGTTCATGACTCCACCGCCACATCTTCGGTGTTCTCCCATCATTGGATGCTTTCTGAGCAATCGACGATGACCAGTTGGCTCTTACGGGGATGAAAGAAATAACAATTATGGCAAAAGAATTTATAAAAGTTGAAATAGAATACTAATATATTTTTTAAAAACAAGAATGTTGTCTCGAAATAGACTAAATTTTGATGCGAAGGTTTCTTGCTTTTAGATTATGAATGTTAATTATTTTTTATTTTTAGTGTCAAATATGCTTCCTCACAGAATTGTGTTGTTTAGATTCCATGAAGAAAGTCTAAGTTGCAATGATATACAAATGCAGCCAACATAAACGGACTACTAATGATGTTGCAACTTTTGTTTTCAATTGTTCACATATGAACCAAAATGTTGTTATGAAGAAATTGTTAATGCAACATTTGCTATATGTTTACTACAACTCAAATGGTTTATAGAAACATACACAAGAAAGAAAAGTTGGTGCAACATGTGAGTAACCTAATGTAACAATTATGGCCCCAAAACTATAATAGACCCAACTTAATTTGTTGGACCACATCTACACTGCAATACTCCTGTGCTTTGGTCCTCGCTTTATGCTAAAAATATGAAACAGTGTTACAAGTCATCGAACCTTCATCCTTTTAAACCAGTCAAACTCCTTGCAAACTAGCAATGTGGTACTAAACTTGTTACACTACTAGATGATACCCCACGCGTTGCCGCAGGAGTTTTGTGTGATATTAGTAGAAATAACATGTAAAATAACTATATTTTGTATAATTTTATTGAAAAAATATAAAGGAATGAAGGGACAACCTTTTGCCTTCCCATTGTTTAATATGTTTGCGATGGTTTTCCTATAACGAATCTAACGGTTGGTAAAGCAAAAAAGACTCACCCGGTGACTGATGGATTGTTGTGTTTCATCCAACGGCTAAGAAGCGATGACCCTTTCTTTTCAAGAATCAGTAATGATGACCTTAACTATCCTAGTTTGCCCTCTTAATACCCCTTATCAATCGAACGGTTGGTATTAGCTGATATGAACTAATCTAACTGCTCTAATCAGCTAATGATGTGAAAGCTTGTGGAAGCAACTAATGGTCTTAACTTTATAAAAAGAAGAGATTTAGTTAATGGGAATTGCATGTGAACAGATAAGGTAAAACGATTCCAATTGATGTATGGATTTTAAGACATGATTTATGCAGAGCTATGAGATGGTGGGTGTATTAACCGAGGACAATCACTTATTGTATGATGACATGGCTGATTGTGGAGGGAGATAGAAAATCTTAAATATCCTTAGTGGGAGACAATTGGTCGAACAACCTCTGCTATCATACATTACGTAGTACTACTGTTTAGCCATCATACGTTACTGCTTAGCCCGTCGGCTCGGTGAGATATAAAGGATACATGGCAATCTGTGCCATCAAAAATCAATCCTACGGTGAGAAAAAAAATTGATGATGTGGCTTCTTCTAATCACAGCTAATGGTCTTAACTTTCTAGAAAGAAAGGATTTCTATCTGCATTATTTTGCTAGATTGGGCCCAAGCCAACAAGCAGCCCACTTACCTAGCTCTCTTCATCTTTCTCCTTTTCTCTTTTCTCTCGATTATACTAGAACGTCACTAACATCCACACACAAAGATTCCACATCCCATCGAACCAATATATACCTAGGCATTCCTACTATCTAGAAATATCTCCTGTTGGTATCGCCTATATATATACGTACGACCACTTCATTGGGCATAACCGTAAGCATTGTATGGCCGCTTACACGACACATACACACATATAATCGTAGGAGTCATCTCTGATAGAAATTTGAAATGGAAGTTGGGGGTAGAATTGATAGAAATTTGAATGGCAGGTGATGGATGAGACAAGTAGTACTTGAGATTGACAAGTATTTTGGAATAAATTTAAAATTGTATAAAGACAAATATTTTGAGACGACGGAGGTAGTAGTATAGATTCTTTGGCTATAATGCGCCAAAGGCAAGTAGCCCACTTAGCTAGCTCTCTTCTTCTTTCTCTTTTTTTTTCTCCTCAATTTTTTTTTGAGGGTGTCACACCTAATATAATGTCCTATCAATTGCCACTATAAAAAAAAGGCCAACTTCATCAAATGTTACAAAGGCAGAGGAATGGTGGACTTATGTGCTTTATGGAAATTTTTCTTGTGACCTGCTGGCTGTTGTGGAAACAGAGAAATGAAATAATATTTCAGAATGTGCAGCCCTCTCTTTCTCGATGGAGGGCCAATCTCAAGGAGGAACTAAGTCTATATTTACCTAGATTAGTTTCTAGACCTCATCTTCAAGAATGGATTGATAATCTGTAATCTATCTTGTACAGTTTTTGTTTAATTAAATGAAAATCACCGTGGGGGCTTCCCCCATTGTTTCCAGGTAAAAAAAAAAGCCAACATATGTAACGGTTCATAATAACCACACGTATCCATTCAAGATTAATAGTCTCCTTTTTCAATAATAAATGGCGAATGGTCTTTAATTAATTTGTAATGGTTTGTAATTACACATTATTAGTGATTGGTGCCATTCCCATGATCAAGCATCAAAATTGGGGCAAGTTTTTTCATTGGTGTGGGATCAAATTTGAGATCTCCAACCTTAGTGCGATCATATACCTCACTCCTCTTCCTCCTAGATTTGCGAAAGAGCGAGAGCAAAGAAGGTTTTAAAGAGAGGAAGAGAAGGAGAACAAATCATTGCCCTCTACCTCCCCGCCGATCGAGGACCTCATCTACCCTCCATCTCCCCACCAACCACTGCTTTTATCTTCCACTCATCGTAGAAGGAGGTGGCGTAGGTGACCTCCATCTTAGACAGATCCAGTGGCCCTAGACCATGGATGGGGGAGGCGGATAGGGAGCCATCTCTGGTGGCTGGGGAGGGGGAAGAGGATTCACGGGGGGTGAGTTGGGAAGGGACGCGGCTAGGAAGAGGATGTGGGAAGGGACCAATTGATTCCGGTGGCCAAGTCGTCAATGTACACGTATTGAACCAATGAATCTCAGCCGTTGGTTTAGGTCCAAGGATGGTTATCGATTACTGCCGGTTCATGATGGTAGTGATGCTAGGTTCACTTCTGGAATTCGATTTTTTGGCATAAACCCCTTATCATTATCAGTTCATTTGGCCCGGCAGAGATAGGGCTTTTTAGTAGTGAATTCTTAATAAAGTGCCCCCTAAAGATAACATTTTCTCAAAAGAATGTCCTCTCCAAAACAAATTAGCAGTGTACTCATTGGTATTCTTCCCTCAGCTTTAAAACATATGGCAAGGTTTTCTTCCCTTGATAAAGAAAAAGGCAGGGGTACTTTCCTATAAGAAATAAAAAGTTTAAAAAGGAAGTCTGAAAACTTGCTTCAGGTCTTCATCATTTTTTCGAGGATACCAAGTGAACACACACCATAGGAATTTATACATAGATGGCATGTGCGATGCATATAGGCGAAGGGAAATGGTGTTGGCCAACCATCTGCAAACCATGCTATAGTCATTACAGATCGCAGTACCGATCCACAAAGATACAATCGCAATGTGTTATATATACTCCCTCCGTCCCTAAATATTTGATGTCGTTGACTCTTTTTAAACATGTTTGATCATTCGTCTTGTTAAAAAAAATTAAATAATTATTAATTCTTTTCCTATCATTTGATTCATTGTTAAATATAATTTTATGTATACATATAGCTTTACATATTTCACAAAAGTTTTTGAATAAAATGAACGGTCAAACATATTTAAAAAAATCAATGACGTCACATATTTAGGGAAGGACGGAGTATATCATAATTCTTTTACGGTTGTTTTTCTCGGGAGCCCTAGCTATCCTTTGCTTCAGCCCAAATCATCAAATAACACCACAAAATGGAAGTGCTTTAATTTGCATGTAGAGAAGTCATTCCTGATATATTTTTTTTTTCGTGAGAAAAACAGTGGCATGCAATTTTCAGAACAGATCATTAATTACAGTAGGATGCATATGGTGGCGAAGAGGATATATATATCTGACCGAGCAATGACTGTGAGCGATGATTTATCAATATGGGGTTTCTCTCAGTGGACAAGTAAAGTGGTCAGCCAGCCTTTTGTAACGAGTGAGCTGCACCCCCTTTCTACTTGCATACAGAAAAAAGGCTGAAGGAATCTCTGTTCCAGACGGCGGTTCAGTCATGGCACGCATTATGACGAAGTAGAAGAACCAATGGCATACAAAAAAATATGCAATTTTTTTTTGTTGCAATCCCGAATCATCACAGCGAAATAATGTCCATTCACCAAGCGATGCAAATTCCTCCAAAATCGGTCTTGGGCCATGTTTAATTCACACCAAACTTCCCCCCAACTCCCAACTTTCCATCACATCACATCCAAAACTTTCCTACACACATAAACTCCTAACTTTTTTTTTCAAACTACCAACTTTCCCCAAACTTCTCCCCAATTTCAGAAACTAAACACACAGCCTCGCGGCTCGCTGGAAACAGGAACAGAACTAGCCAGTTTCTCTAAATCCAAACATCATGCATGTGAGCTACTCCAAATTGAACGCTGATTGGTAAATAAATGCAATATACTCCATCCGTCCTAAAATATAAGAGATTTTAGGTGGATGTGACATATCCTAGTACTATAAATATAGACAGGAAGCTAGTCCAGATTCCTAATATTAAGATGCACCCCATCTATCTGAAATTTCTTATATTTTAGGATGGAGGGAGTACTCTAGTTATGATATATACATGTACTCCTCCTTTTGTTTCATATTATAAGCTTGATAAAATTTATAGAAAATTTTATCAATATTTATAACACTATTAGTTTTAATAAAACTAACATTTAATATATTTATTTTATTTTGAAAATATTGCTACTTTTTCACTAAGAAAAAAAGTAAGACTTTATAATATGAAGTACATACACTGGACTCAACCATGCGCAAAAAGCTCTCATGCACATGCATCACACACATTAGCTATAGCACATGCACAAAAAGTCTTCCTCATGATCAGTCCTCACGCAGCTATAGCTATAGCGACGCAGCACGCGCGCCCTTATCCTCACCAATAAATTAAACAGCCAATCGAGCGAGCTACACACACAAACACACTGACACAGAATGAGCAAGCAAATGCAAGCAGCCGGTGGCACGTATTGACGTATATATATATTCCCGGCCGAGGTCGGCAAATGACGCCGGCGGGCGGCGCCGGCCGGCCGCTGCTAGAAGCGGCAGTGCGCCTTGCAGTTGGCGTCGCAGTCGTAGAAGCAGGGGCCCTCGCACTGCATCGGGCACACCAGCAGCGCCCCTCGGCACCGCCCCGTCGCCGCCGTGCACCGCGCGTACTCCCCCACCCGGTACAGGCTCGAGCTGTAGCTTGGCCGCCGCCCGTGCCTCCTCCCCGCGCCACCACCGCCGACGCCCTCCCTCTCCCGCTCCGTCCTTATGCCCTTGCGACCCTCGCCGCCGCCGCCGCCTTCTTTGCCACCTTTGTGGCGCCGTCTACCATTGCCGCATCCCCACCAGCACCTTCTTCCGCCGCCGCCGCCGCCGCCGCCGCCGCCACCACCTCCACCACCGCCACCACCTCCCCCTCCTCCTCCTCCGCCGCCGCCACTGCTTCCACCGCCGCCGCTGTCAGTGCCCCAGCCCCACCCCCATCCATAGCTCCAAGAACTCCCACCACTGCTTCCCCCTCCTCCACCACCGCCACCGCCACCATCCTTCCGGCCGGCCACGCTGGTCGCATTGTACGACGTGCCATTGCCGCCGCCGCCACCACCAACCGGCCGCTCCAAGCTCTGCACCTGAACCCGGCCGTCACCACCATCGGCACCAAACACCGGCACCACCACCATCACCGCCATGAAAGCCAACACGACCACCACTGCCGCCGCCGGCGCGCCGCCCATCGTCGGCACGCCTACAAGAAGACAAGCTAGGATGGATGGAGGTTGGGGAGAAGCTTGGCTGCGCCGTTTATATATACGGCTAGGGGTTAGGGGAGATCAAGTGGAGCTCACGTGATGATGGAGACAGTTAAGCATGCATGTCTCGATATGAAGTGAGAGAGATCTAGGGAGGGGGATCAAGCTAAGCTAGATGGGAGTTGACAGGGACAGGAGATGACTTGAAGTGCACTTCTTGCCGAGCAGCAAGCGATCGAGGCACCACCAACACATGGGGGTATTATACCCGGTGTGTGGGTGTGGCTCACCAGGGGGCGGCAACCATATGCATTGGCGTGCTCTAGCCATGCAACATTTGCACATGTCACCTGTGACCGCCTTTGTCATGCACATGTATATGATCTCTCTCGACAAACATAAGCAGAAGAGACTACTACTGTGATATACTCCCTTCGTTTCATCTTATAATAAGTCGCTTTGATATTTTTCAGTTTTTGGGTTTCATCAAGTTTATAAAAAAAATTATAACATATACAACACCAAATTAGTTAAATAAATATAACATTAAATGTATTTTTCTAAAATGATTATTTTATACTGAAAATATTGCTTTATTTTCTATAAATTTTATTAAATCTTACTCCCTCCATTTTATATTTCAAATCGTTTGACTTTTTTTAGCCAAACTTCTTTAACTTCGACAAAGTTTATATAAAAATATACCAACATTTTTAATAAAAAAACATATTATCAAAATATATTCAATGTTAAATTTAAGAAACTAATTTAGTGTTATATATGATGCTATTTTTTCTATAAATTTGGTCAAACATAAAGAAATTTGTGTCGACGAGTGATACTCGCAGACCGGATGATTAGGGTATCGTGGTACGTTGGAACGAGGATCTACGTAATACGACATCAAGCAAACAGACGACAAAGATTATACTGGTTTAGGCCCCTTATTAGGTAATAACCCTAGTCTAGTTTATATGGGATTGATGATGGAGAAACACAGAATATAATGGAAGTAGACAAATTCAATGATACCGACAAGATCGTAGTCGATGTATTCGACGAGATCTCCCGGCAACTTGGCTCCACGTACTCCGGCTTCGTAAACTATAGTGGGTGTGTTGGCGATGAGATTCAATGCCTTGCACCCCTCCCCGGGGGTCCCTTTTATACCGTGGATCATCTTGATCTCCAAGTAAGACTTGGAGACATCAGATCCCGTACAATATAACAGAAACTCTATCCCCTCCGAATAGGACTTTGGAAATTACTTGACTCGTAGAGATATTTTCCATAATTTGTAATGGATTTCTACAATGCATATGGAAACGACCCGTGTACGTGAAGGTATACCATACTCGTATATTCCATAAGTCGTAGAATATGAGGTATGCCTTATCCGTAACCATAATAGTATCCCCCGACTTCAACTTAAATGAATTCACGTTGTCATCCACGACTTTGTCTGCTAGCGCCTTTTCGTGCTCGCTTGGTCGATCCGGGTGTAAGACCGTAGAGACATGGAGGCATCGATAACACTAAAGAGAGTTCAACGGTCCAAACATAAATTTAAATTGAAGTCTAAACGGCCGAAAGTTGTTACATATCCTAAAAGCAGTATGTATTCGATGGCGAAAATTCTCATTTCTTTGTTACATAACCCCATAACACTTTTAGTCTTAAAGATGGAGAAGATCTATGACGTCAAGCTAGGAGGACCTAGCTTTGCTAGTACAATTAGTTGACTCCCATAATACTATACATATATTCTCTCCCGTTCTACTCAAATAGAAAGGCCCACTAACCCACTAGTCTTATACTCAATTAGTACTTGACACCCAGCTTATTGTTAGTTGATAGCTAGGCAGGCACCATGCATGCATGGCGTCCCCACGCGTCCACAAAGCTGCAACTTGCCAATGCAAATGTTGCTGGAGGGCATGCGTGCGATCGAACAGTGGTGATGAAGCTAAGCTACCATCCATATATATCCATTCATGGCTGTGATCGATGGCTTCGATCGCCGTCGTCGTCATGATAACGGTTAATTACCTGCAGGGCCTTATGATGTAGACTGACCCACTGACCCATCGGCATCGGCAATGGTTGTTAAGGCGTCATAAGTATTCCCAGTTTATGATTTGGCATCTTTTTTTTTTGAGAAATAGGATTTTCCTTCTTGGCCACGAACTACTACCAATTAACGATCTACCGTTTGCTCTGAATTCTGATCTGCGTATCCGTAATTTGGTAAGGTCATCATTAACGTAACTCACAAAGTACATTTGCAAGTAAGCAAAGGCTGGTAATTACCATTATCTTAAAATAAATTGCCAAAAAGAATGAGTGCACGCATATGTGTATATGTGAGTGTTTTGCGTACGTGCTGTGTTTTAGAAAGAAACAGAATGCTATTGATCCGTGCTGCTTACGGTGCCTGTAGTTGTTCTTGTCGTTTGGGGCGCACATTAAGCCCACAAGGCCCACGTCATGTAGTCACGCGGTGGAGTGGAGGCGAACAATTCGTCTTCTCATCCCCCCCCCCCCCACCTCCCCCGAGAAAGCTAATCCGCGGCCAGTCGTGCGCGCCCTCCCCCGCGCGACGCAACGGCGCGTGATTTTTTTTCGGAAGTGATTTCTTTTTTTTTTCTGTTTTTCTTTCCGTATCTGTAGTTTACGATTTTCTTTCTTTTTCTGTTTTTCCTTTCCGTAGTTTACGGTTTCTGTTTTAGTTTTGTTGCTTTTCTTTTTTTTTTCTTTCCGTATCATTATTAGTTTTTTTTATTTTTTTAATACGTTATACATGTATAAATACAAACTTTGCATACGCGTATACAAACTTTATATACGCGTATGCAAAGTTTGCATACACGTATACGCATACGCGTATATAAAGTTTGTATAAGTATATTTTTTAAGTTTTATACGTATGTATACAAACTTAGTATACATGTATACAAAGTTTGTATGCATATTTTTTTTATTTTTTATACATAAGCACACAAACTTTATATATATGTGTATATTTTTTATACAATAAAGTGTGTATATATATATAATTAATATATACACGTGTATATATACTATATAAACATACGTATAAACTTTGTATATATAAATACAAAGTTTATATGTGTATATATATAGTATATACATAATACATATATACATAGTACTCATGTATAGGAGTAGAGACTAGAGAGGGGGGCGCTGATCACGCGGGAGCGCGGGCGTGCTACTAGTCGTCGATCAGCACCCCCCCCCCCTCTCTCTCGGTCTCTCCCCTCCCCTCTGTTCCTCTCCTTCTTACGATTCCAACGAAATCCGGTCGGATTTCATGAAATTTCGATGTTTCGACGAGGCTCGAAAGTAGAAACTGTCCGAGATTTCGAGGAGTTTCATCCAAATTCAAATTTAAATTGATAAAAAAAAGAAAAAATCAAATAAAATCTTATATATGCTATGATATTCATAGAACCTATTGGGATATAAATTTTCAAAAAAAATAATGTATTGTGTGTATTTACTGAAACTTACATAGGAAAGAAAAGAATAAAGAATTTAAAAAAGGAAAACACTTACATGGGCAAGATTACTGATCGAAATTCTGATGATTTCGATCTGAATTTCGCCAAAACCGACCGGTTTTCGAGAACTTGTCGGCAAACTCAGGGAATTTGTACTCAAATTTTGGTTTATAAAATTTGTTCGGAATTTACCGATTTTCCACCGGATTTCGCGAAATTCCGAATTCCGCCAGTGCCCGAAACGGAAGGGCCTATCGGAATCGTAAACCCTGGCTCAACTCCTCCCTATCCTAGTGCACTCATTAGTATATTAGGCTATACAGTGCCCGACCCTAGATATTCTACCCTAATCCTAGGGCTAGGCTGTTGGCCGCCGATGGCCGAGATGGCGTCAACGACTATGGTTAGGAAGGTGTCGATGGGTGCCCGGAACTGAACGGGAAGCGTTATTTGAGTATTTTTGGATAAAAGTTTTTGATGTTTGAATATAAAGTTGTGTCGCTCTTTGCTCTTTGCCGCCACCATCATCACTGCCGTCTGGCTCTTCGCTCACCAGAGAGGAGACCGGAGAGAAAAGGGATCGGGGGAGAGGAAGAGAAAAACATGGGATTAGGGTTTCACCCCTCAATAGCCAGCGAATAGCAAGATTCGCGCCGCTGCATGACCTTCAGTTCGCCGGACCATCGCCATTGTTTTGCTCACCGGAGAAAAGAACGGGGATGGGAAGAGAAGAGGATTGGGACATTATGGTTTTGAATAGGGATACAAGCGGGCTGTCCCGCGAACCTAATTATATGTTAAATAAAAGGTAGTCAACGGGTTTTCACGTCATGGCTCAGCTTGCCACGTGCCCACATCGTAGAGATAAAAGTGGATCAACCCATAGACCTATTTATAGGTCAAATTAGTAGGTACCCCTCCGGTGATGATTTCACCGACGTGAGTTCAATCTCTGCTCAGTAAGATCGGACGGCCCTCCTATCGGACGTTCACGGGCCGTAGAAGTAAGATGGGCTGCGCCGGTCGTTGCTCCTGCAACATCCCACCAGTGATGAGATGGACCGTCTCCACACGTGCGTGCCCCACGGCCCGGCACAGTGATGGGCTAACTCCGAAGACCTAGGCCAAAATAAGAATTTTTTTTACGCCCCATCGATTTAATTCCTTTAGTCATTTACAGAATTTTATTTGTCATTTTTTGAGTCATTAAAATTGCTAAGAAACCATGATCAATTTTTTTATCACTTATTTTATCACTTAGAGAATTATTTCAAGTTAAATGGGACCAACGTGAAGTTTAACTAGAAAAAAATTAATGATATTATATTATATTAGACTATGATTTCATCATGATGATTATTATTTCCTCAGTCATTTAAATTATTTCTAGTTGAATGGAACCAATGGGAAATTTAACTAGAAAATAATTAGGCATAAAATTATTTTAACCATTGTTATTATATGTCAAATTCCATTAAGATTAATATTTCTATGATTATTTTCTGCCCAACGGTCATATAATTGAGGAAATTTTAATATATATTATTAATTCCTTTGTCATTTCTGGGCCTAATGGTCAAATGACTTAGTTTTTTAGTTCAAGCCATTAGTGCATTATTATTTCTTTTATCACATCTACCCAGCGGTGATGTGATTAAGAACTTTAATTTGTCAGTAAGCTTAATTTCTTTACCATTTCTAGCCAACGGTGATGTGGCTAAAGATTTTATTTTTTTATGTCCTTATTAATGGTATTATTTCCTATATCATTTCTACCTTACGGTGATTTGATTTAGGATTTTAAACTCAATTTGTTGTATTATTTCCTATATCATGTCTACCTACTTTTGGTTATTTGATTTAGGATTTTTAAATTTAATAATTTATGATATTTTTCTTTGTCACTTCTGCGCAACAGGGATAGGGATGTGATTTAAGACATTAATGTTTCTTCCCCCAAATCATTTTTTCCCGACAGTGACTTGATTTTGGATTCTTTAAGTAATTTTATTTAGAGAAAATCCCCTACGTATTCATGAAAGTTCACCTAATCCCTTCTATACCTCTGAATTTTGCTCAATCTCTTACATACCCCTAAATTTTAGTTTGATCTCTTCCATGCCCTTTCCGCTAGTTGACCGTTAGTTGACCGTTAAATTCTTTTGAAAAAGTCCATTTTGCCCTTTCCTATGAAGAAACATAATAAATTAATGAAGTACATTGTTGGAATGTAAAAATTTATTGGATGAGACTATTATATTTATGAGTCTGTGATGCACCATATTATTTGTGACAAATTTACTTTTACATATGATATAAAAATTTAATACTTATTTATTAGTTATTAAAAGTTCTTTTATGTAGCATATGTGTTTTCATAGTAATATAACATATTTGTTTATTACTATCAGAACACATATGCTAAAAAAATAAATAAGTATTAATTTTTTATGTCATATCTAAAAGTATATTTATCGCAAATAATATGGTGCATAACTATCTTATAAACATAATAGTCTCATATAACACATTTCTATGCTCCAACAATATACTCTATTAATTTATATGCTTCTTTATACCAAAGCGCAAAATGGACTTTTTCATAACAATTTAACGGTCAACTAACGGTCAACTAGCGGAAAGGGCATGGAAGGGATCCAAACTAAAATTTAGGGGTATCCAAGAGATTGAGCAAAATTCAGGGGTACAGAAAGAATTAGGTGAACTTTCAGGGGTACACATGGGATTTTCTCTTTTATTTAATGATTCTTCATTTTGTCTCTGCTCAACAGTGATGCAAAGCAAAACGAAGTTAAGTTATCATTACTGTGTGAGTAACTGTACTAATGTACATTATTTGCACGGGCAACCATAGTAATAATGCTACTTAATGTTTCAGTAATAAATAATGTTGTTTATCAGTTGAAGACTTTGAATTATTTTTCTCATTAACGTAGCTGAGCCTAAGTCCTTCTTAGTATGATTTAGCATTAACAAAGGTTCCCTCGTGGCTCCCGCAACTAATATCAAAAATGTTTTTCTAATCTCAAGAGGTTTTTTTTGATAGAGATATAGTATGTGAGAAGGCCAATATAGTGTTGTGTATTTCTGGGATTTTCTAGAAATTCTTTTGGAAAATAGACATTGGACTACCGGTGGCTGATTAGTTGGAAATCCCATTAAAGTTTTGTTATAAGAGATCAAGTAGATGAGGATGTCTACTGCACGCGGGTGCAGTGCTATTGTAGTATATGAGTTGAAAGTTTTAAAATCTGAGTTGAAAATTTTAAATCTTAGTTTAATTTTTTTATACTTTGAGTAGAAAGTTGTAAAGTTTAAGTTGAAAGTTTTAAAATTTAAGTTACAAGTTTCAAATTTTCAATACAAAGTTTACTCGGATTTTTTAAATTTGAAATAAAACTTTTAGTTGAAAAGTCTATTGTTTAAATTTTTACTTGAATTATAAAAGTATTCAATGATGACTATAAAATTAGTAAAAGTATTCAAAAATCTATCCAAAAGTAACTTTGAAAATACAAAATTTTGAGTAACTTTCAATCTATTCTAAATCACTTGTTAATAGGAAAATGCCAAAAAAAAAATTCATACCTATTGGGCCATAAGGCCTATCATACCCATACGCAAAGCTACCTGCGCACGCACATAGGGAGCAAGGACTATAGCCGTGTTTTGAGAGCTTAAAATTCTAAGAATCTGCTGGTTGGTAATTAACTTTTGATAATCTAGAGAGGTGGGTTTTTCATCTTTTGTGTTCTAGGGTTTTTTTATTCTATAGCTACATATTTTCAGAATTTGGGTGATAATTTGAACTGTTTGGGAAGCTGGAGATTATGTCAGAAGTTGTAGCCACTAGAAACTCCCTCAAACAAGCCCTAAGACAGGGGAAAAAAATTCTATTTCGATTTTCTCAACTATTGACAAAATCTTATATATATCTTGTAACTTTTAAATCAGGTAGAAATGCTCCTTATCTGTTAAACTTGGCTGTTTTAAGAGTGATTTCATCCTATGTAAACCCTACTTGGCACGTTAACCAGTGTTTGTCCTATGTGGTGGTTATGTGGTGCTTACGCGCAATCACAAACTGAAAGAAAAATACAAAACAACAATAAGAGTCACATGTCATTGGCAGTTTTATAAAAAAATAATCAAATAGATCACATGCCTGTTACTGTGTGAGGCCCACATGTCAATATCTCTCATCCCTCTTCCCTCTCCCTACTAAAGACCAAGGTCAGGACGACGCTATATGAGCTTTGTTGCTCGATGGGCTCGTCGACCTTGACGGTCATCTTAGGGCTTGGGGTGGTAGCGGTGACCATGTATGCAGACCAGTGACGATTCTAATGGAGGGCACGGGATCCACCAGCACAAAGGGAGGGGGGCAAACGAGTCCCTTGCCATGGGGTGAATGGAGGGGAGGCCCTTGCCGTAGTGGAGCTCGAGGAAGTCCTTTTGAGTAGAAGGAACTAACACCTTCAAATCTGGGAGGGACCAATGGCATATAGCTATAGGCGAGGAGGTTGGTCCAAACGAGTGTCGCCGCTTAGCACCACAGCTGCAAGCTCGAGCTTGATAAGAGCCCGCACGTGGGGGCACTGACACCATGGTACTGGGCTGGTGAAGCAGTAGGAGATGGTCAACCGCTCGTCTGGAGTCGCCAATGCTCATCAGTGTCCATGCTCAAAATATCTGAGGTAGTCGTTTTACCCTGGTTTTAATATTTTGCGGTTAAGGCGAATTAGATTCGACAATAGTTCAAGGTACCCATGTGGGACAAAGACCCCAAATCAACAAGCGTCACTATTAACGCCAAAATTTGGTAAGCCACGAAGTCATCATCGGCCTAGAATCAGTATCGGCTTCAGAGTCCTGGAATCGGCCGATGGGAATTATCAAGTTACCCATAGTAGGATTCTTACTATATCTAGTTAAGGAAATTAATATATTAAAGGAAGTTTATCTAGAAGAGACCGAGTTCAAAAAGGAATCGTGAAGACTATGGCATGGCGGTATAAGTTTATCTATTAATTAGGAAAAGTTTGTTAGTTTCTTTTTATCTTTAGGATAGTGTGTTTAGTTTACGATAAGGACTTTATGTTTTCCTTTTATCTTTAGGAAAGTTTTTTTCTTGTTCAATCTACCCATGGGTATAAATATGTACACCTAGAGTCATTGTAAATTATCTCTCGATCAATACAACTACTCTCGGCGCATCGCTACCCTCTTTACCGAGGTTCTACTTATCATCCGACGGAACTTGGCACCTAATGCGGGGCTGCATCGGCTTTCAATCTCCAGCGAAAGGGTAAGTCCTATGTTCCGCCGGCCCTGGCAATCATATCGGCTACATTGGTGTTCTCTAAGGCTGCATCGTTCTCGATCTCTTGGATCGCTCTGGTTTGGTTGATATGTTTGTCTACCTATTTATCATATATCTTAGTTAATCTAGTTTGGTAGCTTTATTTACTTGTATCGGCTAAGATTCGCTTTAGGCTTTATGCCGGTATCAGCTAAATCGCTTTGCTAGATTAGATTAGTTAAGGTATTCACCACCCTGAAAATTAGTCAAAGACTTGATTGTTTAGACTTTATACTTCTTTGCATACTTTGCAAATCATCGTCCCTAGTCATGCTTAGAATCATAAAAGTTAATATGTCTTTGATTATAATAAGGGTTTCATCGGGGTTTCAGCCGATGAGTTATATGGATGTTGAGCTTACAAAGATCGCATACAAGTTGGTTTTAGTCGATCGCAACAAAGGTTTTATTGTTTATTTAATTTTGTAGATTTTACGACATCAGACCTCCAGCTGATGTATACTTTAGTTTTCGGATCAGTGTTTATTCAATCATATCATTATTGGCCGATTGGTTTCTACTGGATTACATTATTGTTTTATTACATTACCATCAGCCGATTGTCTTTATATCATTATCTATATTAGACATATAGCCGATTACTCAAAACCCTATTGACATCGGCTAATATCGGCATCGGATGGAACTACTCCATTGGCTTGTTAGCCGATCGGCTATTTGATTTGCTATTTACACATCTTGTCAGTTGCAGGATCAAACTGACTGGTACGTCGACATCTCATCAATTTTTGGACCTGCATTAGACCTAAGCAGATCTCCTAGGACGTTGTGTTCGTTGACTTAGTTCGCGCCAACACAGATCCGATACTATCGGCTGAGCGTGAATTTTTCGTCAACAGTCATGTCAGCTAAAACCACAGTTAATACTACCGACTGACTTGATTTACACTAGTTTTAGATACTGGAGATTGCTTCGTATCTGGCTTTACAGTTGAGGGAGGCAAATTAAACTCGACCTCTGGTTTGGGGACGTAAATGGACGTTTTCCTTGCAGGAATAACCCGGAGTCCCGACCCACCCCCAACGAGGCAGATCAGGTATTCCCGTGGGCCGTATTACACGGTCACGTCATCCATCCCGTGTCGCAGGTGCGGTCCCGCATTGCTATGCCCCACGCGGCAGTGACGAGGAGGCACACGCCAGGTAATCCGGTGGGCCCACCCTACCCCGCCGCACACCGGAGAGGGAGAGGCGATACGCGTGGCCCCTGCGTACGTCAACCAACGGCCCAGATCTCTCCGCACTCCGCACGGCACGCCGCCGCATCGGCGTGACGAGTTGTTGTTGTTGGCTTGTTGCTGGTGCAGCCGCGCCGCGCCGCGCGTGCTCGGGTATAAATATGTACACCTAGAGTCATTGTAAATTATCTCTCGATCAATACAACTACTCTCGGCGCATCGCTACCCTCTTTACCGAGGTTCTACTTATCATCCGACGGAACTTGGCACCTAATGCGGGGCTGCATCGGCTTTCAATCTCCAGCGAAAGGGTAAGTCCTATGTTCCGCCGGCCCTGGCAATCATATCGGCTACATTGGTGTTCTCTAAGGCTGCATCGTTCTCGATCTCTTGGATCGCTCTGGTTTGGTTGATATGTTTGTCTACCTATTTATCATATATCTTAGTTAATCTAGTTTGGTAGCTTTATTTACTTGTATCGGCTAAGATTCGCTTTAGGCTTTATGCCGGTATCAGCTAAATCGCTTTGCTAGATTAGATTAGTTAAGGTATTCACCACCCTGAAAATTAGTCAAAGACTTGATTGTTTAGACTTTATACTTCTTTGCATACTTTGCAAATCATCGTCCCTAGTCATGCTTAGAATCATAAAAGTTAATATGTCTTTGATTATAATAAGGGTTTCATCGGGGTTTCAGCCGATGAGTTATATGGATGTTGAGCTTACAAAGATCGCATACAAGTTGGTTTTAGTCGATCGCAACAAAGGTTTTATTGTTTATTTAATTTTGTAGATTTTACGACATCAGACCTCCAGCTGATGTATACTTTAGTTTTCGGATCAGTGTTTATTCAATCATATCATTATTGGCCGATTGGTTTCTACTGGATTACATTATTGTTTTATTACATTACCATCAGCCGATTGTCTTTATATCATTATCTATATTAGACATATAGCCGATTACTCAAAACCCTATTGACATCGGCTAATATCGGCATCGGATGGAACTACTCCATTGGCTTGTTAGCCGATCGGCTATTTGATTTGCTATTTACACATCTTGTCAGTTGCAGGATCAAACTGACTGGTACGTCGACATCTCATCAATTTTTGGACCTGCATTAGACCTAAGCAGATCTCCTAGGACGTTGTGTTCGTTGACTTAGTTCGCGCCAACACAGATCCGATACTATCGGCTGAGCGTGAATTTTTCGTCAACAGTCATGTCAGCTAAAACCACAGTTAATACTACCGACTGACTTGATTTACACTAGTTTTAGATACTGGAGATTGCTTCGTATCTGGCTTTACAGTTGAGGGAGGCAAATTAAACTCGACCTCTGGTTTGGGGACGTAAATGGACGTTTTCCTTGCAGGAATAACCCGGAGTCCCGACCCACCCCCAACGAGGCAGATCAGGTATTCCCGTGGGCCGTATTACACGGTCACGTCATCCATCCCGTGTCGCAGGTGCGGTCCCGCATTGCTATGCCCCACGCGGCAGTGACGAGGAGGCACACGCCAGGTAATCCGGTGGGCCCACCCTACCCCGCCGCACACCGGAGAGGGAGAGGCGATACGCGTGGCCCCTGCGTACGTCAACCAACGGCCCAGATCTCTCCGCACTCCGCACGGCACGCCGCCGCATCGGCGTGACGAGTTGTTGTTGTTGGCTTGTTGCTGGTGCAGCCGCGCCGCGCCGCGCGTGCTCGGGTATAAATGCCGCAGCCGATGCCCGTTTATTTCGATTATTTTTTGTTATAGGCGATCGATCGAGCCACCTGTAGCCGAACGCCTCACTGGCCGGCGGCGAGGGAGAGACGAGAAAAGGCGGCGGCGCCGGCGGGTGATGGGCAGCGTGGCGATGGACTCCGACTACGGCGTGCCGCGCGAGCTGTCGGCGCTGCAGAAGGCCCGCGCGCTCTACCGCCCCGACCTCCCGCCCTGCCTCCAGGTAACGTGCCCTAGCTACCCTAAACCCACGGCCGCCGCCGCCGTGACGACATTGCCCTCGATCACCGACCATGCTGTTCTCGTCCGTCTCTCCCCTCCGGCCGGCCAGATCCATCCCGTCGACGGAGGAAGCGGCGGAAGCCACTAGGTTGCTAACCTTATGGTACAGTGCGGTTTCGAGCAATTTCGCCTAGCGCTTTCGGATGGTTGGATGGATGGGTGGAGGTGGGGTAGGATTGGGGTTAGGTGTACCAGTAACTAATGCGCCGATGCCGATGCCACCGTCGCTCTCCATCACTTCGGGAGGGAGGAGCCAGGAGGAAGGTGTGGAATCTCATCTCTGGGATTCCCACGGCCAAGCCTGCGACACAGGGCACACTGGGGATAATTGGAGCAAAATTCGGCATCTCCTTTAAATTTTTCCCCTCTCGACTGTTGCGTTGTCATCCTCCGGCCACGTAAGTGGCAGGGGATCGCGACGAGGCCAAGCGAAAACGACGGCACATTGGCACGCAGCTAATCACCCGATTCTGTTAGTCTTATCTTTTTTTTTTGGCTATTATTAGCTTTGCATTTGGGCGCTGCACTGTGGCAACGGATAAGCGCAATCTGTGAGAATACGTATTGCTGTGGTGTGCATGGCTAGAATGGTCGAGCGGGTCGTGTTCTTCATTGACAAAATTAACTCTTGATGATGATTGGACTGTTTATTGTCTGTGTGGGGGACAACAGGGCACCACGGTGAAGGTGGAGTACGGCGACGCGGCTATCGCGGCCGACGTGGCGGGCGCTCATGTCATCAGCCACGCCTTCCCGCACACCTACGGCCAGCCGCTGGCGCATTTCCTCAGGAAGACTGCTGCTGTGCCGGATGCTACCGTCATAACAGAGCACCCTGTTGTCAGGTATGCTCACCTCCTCTGTTCAGTGTGGTCCTGGTAGTTGTGCAGTTGAGCTATGATGTAGTAGCATGTAGTAGTAACAAACAAAGGTAAACACTAGTTCTACATGTTCCGGGCTTCCAATATTAATATTTTAACTTTTTTTTGCTGATTATTTAAGATGTATTCTTCCTTTACTAATTATTGAGTTAGTCATTCATGATTAGGAAAAAAATAATTACATGCCTATATGAGATGCACACAGTGGTGTAATCATGTCATGTCTGCTTATTTTTTCCTGCTATGTTTTGGAACAGTAACCTTGACTCTTACAAGTCTGTACAGCTTTAATTTAAAATCTGTGAATGATGCAGGGTTGGTGTTGTCTTCAGTGGGAGGCAGTCCCCAGGTGGGCACAATGTTATATGGGGACTCCATGATGCTATAAAGGCTCACAACGCAAACAGCAAGCTCATTGGTTTCCTTGGTCAGTGCATATGTTTATTGATGAAACTAATATGATTTAATTCAATTAATATTTGTATTTTATGTTGTTTCTTTCTTTTTTTTATTGTGATAATCATTGTGTCATAAAGCTTCCATTATCTAAAAATCATTGTGTCATTTTATAAGGAGTTCGACAGTTTTTTAACGTTTCTAAATATATTATACTTCGATCTGATTATTGTCTAGAAAACGAATATGATTTTAGGATCAGTAATCAGCACTGAGCTTAGTGTGTACTAAATCCTCAAAATGTCTGCCCTGACACTTACATGTTCAAAATTGATATTCATGGTAGATTATCTAAAACAGAGTGAATTTGTATATGCTTTATTACCAATTTATTGTTTTTGTACTGTAACAGGAGGAACTGATGGATTGTTTGCACAGAAAACTTTGGAGATCTCCGATGAGGTCCTTTCCTCTTATAAAAATCAAGGTGGTTATGATTTGCTTGGACGGACAAGGGATCAGATCAGAACAACTGAACAAGTGAATGCTGCAATGACTGCTTGCCAAGCCTTGAAGTTGGATGCTCTTGTAATAATTGGAGGTAGTATCCCTTATGCCAATATGCTGAATTTTACCTATCTTATTCATTTGAATGACCTGACAATATCGTTTTCTTTTCTTAAGGTGTTACATCCAACACGGATGCTGCTCAGCTTGCTGAGACTTTTGCTGAGTCAAAGTGTTCAACAAAGGTTAGCAGATATTTGGTATTTTGTCTATATTAGCTAGCTTCTTGACTCTGGATTCCTTAAGTTTCACTGTGTACTGTGTTAACAAGCATTTTCCCTATGCCACATAAATAACCTGACACATGTATTTCCTTAACAGGTAGTTGGTGTTCCTGTAACTCTGAATGGGGACCTTAAGAACCAGTTTGTTGAGACAACTGTTGGTTTTGATACCATATGTAAGGTATATATGTGCAAAGATCAAAGAGTTTAACGATATGCTAGCATTTTGTGTTATATCATTTCATTACGATTTGTGATGGTTACTTGAACTTTTTTCTTTTCTATAGGTGAATTCGCAGCTCATAAGCAATGTCTGCACTGATGCTCTTTCTGCTGAGAAGGTAAATCAGAACAGATTTTCAGATGCCATATTAACAGTTTAACATTATTTCTTGGTTGTGTATAAATTCTTGATGAAATAGGGAAATTGCTGTAATTTTTTTATTTTCTTGACATTTCTAAATACTACTAAGTACCAACCCGGTAACCCCAAAAAACATATGGCATATCAAAATGATGTAATGCGTAAAAAATGTAACCGTAAAAACCTATTGGTTCTTTTTAGATAATACAAATAAGGGGCTAGAAATAAACCTACAGCCCATATTGATAGAATTGAAAATTAATGGCTGGTTTTTCCATTAAGCAACTCTGGATCCAGACTGCAATTTATCAACTGATCAGGATTATTTGCGCTCCACCTTGGGAAACCTTTTTTTATCCAACTTGGTCCATCTTGGGAAATCTATTATCTGAGCTTCCAATATATGACCCTTACAAGTAGTATCCAAATTGCAAAGTTCCTCTATATTTATATTTTTTTATATTTTATGCCATTAGAGATTTGCTGCATATCCTTATGTCCTCATGCACTTACACAATTCACTTACACAGTATCAATTGCTTATATTTCTCAAATCTTCATTTCTTACCTTTGGCAGTATTACTACTTTGTTCGGCTGATGGGACGGAAAGCATCTCATGTGGCTTTGGAATGTGCTCTTCAATCGCATCCAAATATGGTTAGACATATCCTTCTTTTATTTTGTGTTCTCCTAGTTGATCGACAATACAGAATTTACTGATTTAATCTGGCTTGAATCATTTTCAGGTTATACTAGGTGAGGAGGTTGCTGCATCAAAACTTACAATTTTTGATATCACGAAGCAGATATGTGACGCAGTCCAGGCAAGGGCTGAAAAGGGTAGGAATAAAGTTATCTTATAGGCTTCGTCTTCTAGTCCCATGTTTCCAGTGCATACCATCTTGTACACATAAATATCATTCATTTCCCTCATTCCTGGTGGTCATATTGTCTTGTGCAGACAAAAATCATGGTGTTGTACTTATTCCTGAGGGACTTGTTGAAAGTATCCCTGAATTATATGCTTTGCTTCAGGTCAGCATCAGCACCCACTGTACTGGTTTTGTACATTGAAGGTTTATTACTGAGCTGAGCTAATATTTGCAGGAAATTCATGGGCTACATGATAAAGGTGTTTCTGTTGAGAACATATCTTCTCATCTTTCGCCTTGGGCTTCAGCTCTATTTGAATTTTTGCCTCCATTTATTAGGAAACAGGTATATATTTTATTTTTGTATAATATTCAGAAAATCATAATTTACAGAAGTTGTGTTGCTTCAACCTGTTCTTTCTGTCATGCAGCTACTTCTTCATCCTGAATCCGATGACTCCGCTCAACTTTCTCAGGCATGGTAGCACTGTGATTTATTTTGTTTTTATTATTGTATTACCTATATGTTCTGACAGCAATATATGCTTGTTTTTGCAGATTGAGACTGAGAAACTTCTAGCCCAATTAGTTGAAGCAGAAATGAACAAACGTCTGGTAAGCATGCTGTGGACACCCTAAAAATATTTACAGTTTTTACTTTCACTTGCTCTTTAAATGTAGCTTTATCCGTGCACATACGTTTGCCTTTTATTGCAGAAGGAAGGCACTTACAAAGGAAAGAAGTTCAATGCAATTTGTCACTTCTTTGGCTACCAAGCCAGAGGTGCCCTACCCTCAAAGTTCGACTGTGATTATGCTTATGTAAGTTTCTTCTTACTTCACTAGTTCGCTATTCGTGCATCATTTTGTTATTGTTGTTTACTGACCTTTGATTGTTTCATTGTTTGGTTCCAGGTTCTTGGGCATGTATGCTATCACATCTTAGCTGCTGGCTTAAATGGCTACATGGCCACTGTGACAAATCTTAGGAGTCCTGTGAACAAGTGGAAATGCGGTGCTGCTCCTATTACTGTGAGCATAGATTACTTTTTTATGCTATTAAATAATTTTTTTTAAAACTTGTAAATTGAAGACCTTTTCATGAGTTCAAGTATTACATAAGATAGACTTACTCGTCTCTACATTTCCTCATGAACAGTCCATGATGACCGTAAAGCGATGGTCACGAGGACCAGCTGCCAGTCAAATTGGGAAGCCTGCTGTTCACATGGCGAGTATCGACTTAAAAGGAAAACCATATGAGTATGTATTGAAAAATTTATCATTCCGATGAAAGTGTACATGTATTCATGGGCAAATATACTTGTGTTCTTTCAATTTTAGTTCGTTTTAGTCCATACTAATTATAATGTTAAATGATAATTAAAGTGCTATAAATGCTGTAATATGCTTAGGACACCATGCCATTTTTATTCTGCATTTGCTATTGGTCTTTTACTGAGGAAATGTTCTTTTGTTGCTCTGCAGGTTGTTGAGACAAAACTCTTCCAGCTTCTTGATGGAAGACATCTACAGAAACCCTGGTCCTCTGCAATTTGAGGGACCAGGTGGAGAGACAAAGCCGATTTCATTGTGTGTCGAAGATCGAGACTACATGGGGAGGATCAAACAATTGCAGGAGTATTTGGAGAAGGTGCTGTTAATTAGTTTGTTATTATTATTTATTTTGGCCTTTTGCTATCAAAACAACCAGGGTTAACCATCATCAGTACTTTTATCTCTTATCATTGTTTCCTTTGCATGCCACGCAGGTCAAAAGTATTGTGAAGCCTGGATGCTCCCAGGATGTCCTGAAGGCAGCGTTAAGCGCCATGGCCTCTGTGACAGAGATGCTAACCATCATGTCTTCTCCCTCTTTCAGTGGCCAAGCAACCATCTGAGAGCCAGTGAAGCTGAAGCCTGTCATATCCTGGTATCCGTATCTCTCTGTTTTGAGTGTCTCGTTTTTGGACCTGTGAATTTGAGTGTGATAGAGATGTGTTGAGGATGAGTTCTGGAACAGCAATAATTGCTCAAACAGGTCACTGCATTGCGAGTGGTTTGTGTTCGATTATATTAGATTTGAGCTTACCGTTTTCTTTGGCGGCACTATTATGAAACGTGAGCTAGCACCTCTGATTCCTCTGGGAATCGTAGCTATCTTGCCTGCACAGGATGTGAGCTCAGAGAATTTCGCCGTGATTCATAACTATCTTTTCTGCAGAAGGATGTTTTTTCACTTTACTCAAAAGTTCTCCTGGTGCTTGTGAAATAACTTGCCGAGTGCGGATTAAAAATAGGGGAAGAAACAGTCATGTATATCAAACTGAGCCCAATGATAGTGTAACTAATCCTTAATCTAGAGCTCATGTTAATTCATCAAAAGATGAATATAAAGTTTTGCTATTTGGCACTATTGCTTCGATCACTCGGTCGCCATATTTTGTTCACACGTTTTTCACTAAGAAGTTTCCCAGGATAGAGTTCATGCTCACAAACAATTTTGAGGATGCTCTAACGAGCTACATGGTGGCAAGCTAGCATTGGATTCGGGGGCGCGGCGGTGTCGGTGTTCGTGGATAAGGGCATCATCAGCTCCAGCGAGAATGGGAGTGGGTCGATGATGACGAGATCCTCCCAACAGCCCCACCCGCTCCCGCTCAAGCTTGCTGCTATGCCGCCAGCCATCTCGAGCTCCTCCTGACGGTTCTTCTCATTCCTGACATTGAAAAGGATGGGGCTCGCTATAGATCCAGGTTGGCGCCCTCCCAATTACCACAAGCTCCACTCGTCCTCGTTGCATCGTCGTCTTCGTGGCTACTAGCTACCACCGACGACGTCGAGGGGTTGGTGGCGAGGAGGCCGCCAGTGCACCGGTTTCCTCAGGGTCGGCCTGCGCCCGCTCTCCATACTAGCTTCAACCCCAGCATCCCTGACCTTCTTTTCTTCTGTGCCTCCTACACCCACATCCCACATCCTTGACCGTTTCGAGGCCTTCCAGGTGTGTTCAATCACGGCTTCCAGGTGTGTTCAATCAGGGTGGCGTGGATACTCGCCGGCCACCTCCCTTTTATCAAGCCGACCTCCTCTCAATCGACCCCTCAACAACCCCTCACCAGGGAGATGAAGAAAGAAAAGAAGATGAAAAATATGACGGCATGATACGGTTTTAATTTTGCGAAATTTCAGTAGCACCCAACCGATATCGTGCGAAATAATGGTATTTATTTCAAATCAGAAAATGCGCAATGGCAAGGATCAAATTAACCTAAAAAAATTGCGTAATGACACGGATAAAATTAACCTAAAAAAATTTCAATTACTCACAGGATGATCCACTGGGCTTTACGGGCCTCGTGTCAGATTCTCACGTGAAGTAGGATGGGCTATGACTTGGGCCCTCAAAGGTTATCTTTGCTCACTCTTTCTTTTCTCTTCAGGTCTCCATTCTTCTCCCCAAGTAGCCCTTTAAACCCCGCAAAACCCTAGAAATTGATTTCGTCACCGCCGAATCCCCCAGCAGCCAGCCATGTCGTCGTCGGCGTCGCGCGCCGCCAGCCTCCTCCGCCGCACATCCTCCGCCCTGTCCCGCCGCTGCGCCCACTCCTCCTCCGCCGCCGCGCCGTCCCGCCCGCCCGTTCCGCTCCCACGTTTCCGCGCCGCCGCCGCCGCCGCCTCCTCCTCGCCGTCCTCTGGGATCACCTCCCGCCGCTTCCTCGCGTCGAAATCCCCGTCGTCGTCGTCGCCCTCCAAGGCCTCCGCCGACGAGAACCTGGTGCGGGTCATCGACTCCGAGATCGAGTGCATTGTTCAGTCGGAGGAGGGCGCCGCCTCCGCGAAGGTCTGCCGGTTTTCCTCTTATTATTGCTTGGTTTATTCCTGTTCTATTTATCGTTGAATTAGCTTAATTCTTACCGTGAATTAAAAGGTTCTGCTTGTTTTATTGGAGATGATTGGCCGATTTAGTAGGGAAAGATTAGACTTAATTCGGAGCTGATTTATGTTCTTTAGTCCTATCTGTAGTTAGTTCGGTGCTATTAAGTACTAGCCTTTTAATCACCTTTTACTGCTTAAACACGAAGAGGTAGATTCATGTTGGCACCACCAATAAGCAGCTAATTCCCAAAAATTATCCACCCTGTGCCTCGACAAGATTAAGATGGAGAAAATATGTAATATTCATCATAGAAGTGGTACAAATAAAAAAGCAGTAATGTGGTTGTGTTGTAAATAAAATAAAATGGATTTTTTTTATAGTTATTAGATAACCACATTACCACACTCTTTAGCCCTGTCCGTAGTGAAATAGCCTTATATCATCAAATTATTTGCTGCTTAACCATGGAAAGTGTGATTTAGGTTGGCACCTGTCTTGCCAATATCAAGCTTATCCTGAATTTTATTCAATCTGTTCCTTTATTTGCCACCATGAATGTGATATCCAAGATTTGAGGAAACATATGATTCTCTATAGCATTGGTACAAAGGAACAAAACAGTGATGTGGTTGTGTTATAAAAACAAATAAAATGGAATTATGAAGATGTGGTTACCTCATGTTTTTCAGGAAATCTACCTGGTTATATATCATCCTACAAAGATCTGTTCTGTAATCTAGCTTGAGTTATATTGTTCACATTTTTAACTTTAGCACGTCAAGAACACATTTTGCATTTCATATATTGGAAATAGCCATCATCTGACTTATGTGCAAGTCCATTTGAAATATGAGCTAAACTTTACAAACAGTTGAAATATCTGTTTTATCATGAAGTATTATTTACACATGATCAGTAGCGTGACTTAATCTCATGGATGTGATAATGTGCAGGTGATATCATAAGATTATAGTGCTTGAGATTTTACAGTTTATACCTTCACATACAGTTAATCTGCTGTGGTTGGATTATTTATCGTCATTTTGATTGACATATGTTGTGTTGTGTGTGTGTGTATTTTTTTTCATCTTTTGAACAGCAAATTGATCTACCAGAAGACTTCCCTTTTGAGATAATCGACAATCCTGGTGACCAATCCATAACACTCAAAAGAGAAATTGCAGGAGAGACTATTAAAGCTACTGTCTACACAAACTTTGATACACAAGATTTGAATGAGGATGGCGATGATAATGAGAACAATGAGGAATCTTTTAAGCCAGCAATCCAGATGGTCGTCACTGTTGAGAAACCAGAAGCCTCCATCTTGGAATTTGAATGCCACTTCAATGATGATGAACTGGCAATTGAAAGTATGAGGATGCTGGATCAAAATAATAGTGATGCGGAGAATTTGTATGTGGGACCGACATTTCAGTAAGTTGAATCATATCTAGTTCCCTGCTCTTTAGATTTCAAGCATAGTAGCAGGATCCAAACAATACGTAAAAGAATTCCTCATGAACTCTTTTCCACCAGCTTCTTTTCCTCTACCCCAAAATGGCTTAACTTTGTAGTTTCTTCCTTCTGGTGTTCTTAGCATTTGTGAAATCATTGCAGTTCATTCATATGTTTTATTGATTCATGTAGCTGAATAGTCGTTTTGTTTACAGCTTTCCCCTAACCTTTGAGTTCCTCATTATGTGCTTCAGGGATCTTGATGAGAGCTTGCAGAAGGCCTTGCACCGGTATCTCGAAGTGAGGGGAATCAAGCACTCACTGCATGACTGGCTGTGCGAGTACATGATGAGCAAGGATGAGAAGGAGTATCTGGTTTGGTTGAAGAGCATGAAAGAATTCGTTGGGAATTGAGTGCCGGTGCGTAATGTTTGTCCCTCATAATTATCCAGAGCTACATTGCATAGAAGTCACGTTTGGTGAAAGACCATATGGTGGTTTTATTTGTCATAAATCCTTGCTGCTGTTACCCAGCACTGTTTGCTACTAGCTAGCTCGCCTTTTATTTAATCCCTTTGATCTTTGGATGATTGTGATTATTTTGCTCTTGTGCGTGGAGTTTTTGAGTACTTACTGTCGAAGTGTCATCATAATTTCAACGTGCTGTCTCCACACCTTCTCCAGAAATTATTCTGTTTTGTGCATTCGTGCACGCATTGTGCGTTCACAATGGATATTATAGCATCGGCACACTTTTTGAGATGTGATTGTATAATAGCAATTCCGTTTTGCTGTGCTTAATCTACTTGGCGGTCGCTTTGATTAATTCTATCATTTTAATATCAGAATGATAGACGAGTTATCGGATAAAGACCGAATCTTTTGCTGAATTGTCAGTCGTATCCAATCGGGTAGCTTTTTTTTTGTGTGTGCATTAGCTTTGCTTGCTGATACAATTAAGTCGTTGAGAAGGATAATGCTTCAATTAAGTCGTAGAGGAGGGTAATAAGATGCGGAGGACCTGCACCACGCGTTGACCAATGCAAAGAGTGCCCGGCGTATTGGCCGGGATCATATGTGTACGTGGTGCAAAATATTTAGGCCCGTTTAGTTCCCCAAAAGTTTTTCTCAAAAATTTGGACGAATGCATGTGAGTCTTTGGATGCATGCATGGAGCATTAAATATAGATTAAAACAAAAACTAATTACACAGTTAAGGGGAAATTACGAGACGAATCTTTTGAGTCTAATTAGTCCATAATTAGCCATAAGTGCTATAGTAACCCACATATGCTAATGACGGATTAATTAGGCTCAAAAGATTCGTCTCGTGGTTTTCATGTGAGTTATGAAATTAGTTTTTTCATTTGTATCCGAAAACCCCTTCCGATATTCGGTTAAACATCCGATATGACACCCAAAAATTTTTATTTCGTGAACTAAACAGGCCTAAACAGGCCCTTAAGGAAATTAACGTCAAATCCATACTTGCCGGGGTCGCATTGTATTTGTCTAGGGAGACGACTCGTCTTGCTCTCGTTTCAGATATCATGCTCTCAGTTTCCACCAACTCCAAAATGACAGGAAATATTGTATCAACAGGAAAAAAAAAGATGATGCATAGGGGACCATAAAAAGAAAAATATCAGCTGCTAAACATTTACTAGAATAATGATAGCCCAATAATTAATACTCCTTTTGTTCTAAAATATAATAAATGTTAACCTTTAATGTTTAAAATATAATAATTTTTTTAGCTTTCAAATTTTTTAGACCAAATATAGCACCAATTGTACCTTTTTTCCCAAATTATCGTAGCCTAAAGTACAAGTCTTTTTATTCCTCTTATTAGTACTATAATATTTTTTTACCTCTCGTTAATACATTTGTTGAAAGCTAAAACTTTTATATTTTATCTTAGAACAGAGGGTAAAAGAATTAGGCCCCGTTTGTCACAGCTCTAGCTCCCAACTCCAACTTATCTGGAGCTGGAGTTGTATCAAACGGTCTAGATCTTCCTTTTTTTTTTAAGCGGAGTTAGCAGAGCTACTACTAGAAAATAAACTACGGGGCTGGAGCTAGGTTTTTGCTGCTCCACAGCTCCACTCCACCCAAAAGACCCACACCCTTTAATTTTTTTATTCTATTTACATGAAAATGCCACTCAACTACCCCTCCACACCTCCTCTCCTCCTATTCTCTCTCCTCCTCACATCTTCTTCCCGATGTGTGTCGGTGTCAGCGGGCGTCTGCGTTGGCGGCGGCGGGAAGCGGTGGGCGACGGCGGCAGCGGGAAGCGGCGGGCCACGACAACATCTGTGTCGGCGAACGGCAGCGGCAGCGGCAGCGGCAGCGTTGACGGTGGCAGGCAACGGCGGTGGCGACGGCAGCATCTTTGTCAGCGAGCGACGGCGGCATCGTCGGCGGCGGGCGATGGTGGCGGCGGGAGGCGGCGGGCGACGGCGGCGTCTGCGGCGACGGGCGACGGCGACCGGGACGACGACGGGCGGCGCGCGCGGGACGTTGCACAGGTGCGCGCCTGGGTCGGCAAACAGCCGGCGTCTCGTTTCCTTTCTTTTTCATTTTTTTTCAGATCTGGGGCTGAAACCTAGCCAAACGCTTTTTAACAAGTCTCCAACTCTAACAGGAGCTAGCTCTCATTGAAGTTGTAGTTTGGAGCTAAGAGTTAGAGTTTGGAGCCCTACCAAACGGGGCCTTAGTGGTCATATCAAACTTACAGCCGCTGCAAATCATGCCTAGTCCACCCTTAACTCTATTTAATAATCCCAACATTAACTTGCAAATCATGCCTAGTCCACCTTCAACTCTATTTAGTAATCCCAACATTAACTTGTGAATCTCTCCGAATGTATGGCAGGGAAATAAATAAAAAACACTCAGTTCCTCTCATATTTGACTTGCACCCTAATCTCATTTTCTTTGGAGAGGGCACCGTAATCTCGTTTAGAGCAGGTACAATAGCAGCCTATAAACCAACTATAAACATATTTTAAAGAGATAAAGAAAGAGAGAGAAGAGTAGCGGGCTACAGATTTGTAGCCAGCTGCAGCACAGACTTCAAGATGTAATCAAGATGTAATGTATGTATGCTATGTGGGACCAGGTATTAATAGTATAGTAAGTAACTATTGTATGAATTGGCTATCATATTGGCTATAGATGATTTAGAACTAGTAGAGGGCTATACTATTAAACTTGCTCTTAGAACCGAACCTCCGTCCCAAAATATAAGCATTTTTGACTTCGACACAGTTTTCGAGATCTACTTTGACCAATAATATCTATAAAAATAAAATATTTTAAATAAAAAGAGTGGCATAATATGATAGTTTGATTAATGATAAATCTAATAACATCAATTTTACATGATTGATATTTTTATTATTTTTTTCTATTAATAGTTAAATTTAAAAATGGTTGACTTGGCACTATGCTAAAAATATTTATGTTTTGAGACGGAGGGAGTAGAACCCAAGAATTTTGCTCCCATGCATGGTCCGCAAACAAGCATCACTGTTGACTGGCATATTTCGACTCTGATTATTACTAGTAATAATTTTTGAATAGTTAAACTACGATAAACAAAATCTAATGGTATGTAAATTAAAGCACATTGCCAATGTAACATCTTCTAAGATTCTCGACAAGTAAATTGCACCTATGGTACAACAACTTGGCAAGTGGATCCGATATAGTACAAGAACTTAAGAATTGAACATCCAAGTGTAACAATTTGACAAGTGGGTGCATTCTAGTACAAGAACTTGACAATTTAGTATTTTGATGCATCAACTTGGCTAAGCATATGGTAGGTGATTTTTTTTCACGATGTTAATATGCCATTACATAGTAATCCTACAGATATTACCTTATAATATTGGATTTAATCTTTAAGAATTATACTGCACATACAATTTACATCCAATTAACTTTTAAGAATTTTTTGTTTTCTTCACCTTCTCAAATATCAACCGAAATATAATATTTTTTACATCTAGTTTAATTGACTTTTAGTTATTAGTTATTAGGATAAAAATATAAAAATGCTTATAGAAATACACGCTAGTATATTATCAAAATAAGCACTTAAAAATTGAATCTATAAAAAAATGGTCCAAATAATTAAGTTGCCGCATAACTTCTTAATTTATTTATCAAAATCGTACCTACCTTGCAAGTTGTTACATTTATCTGATCACTTATAAAGTTCTTATACTAAATTGCACCTTCCTGCCAAGTTATTACACTAGAATGCTCATTTCTCAAGTTATTTTACCAAATTGCACCCACTTGTCAAGTTGATGAACCGTGGATGCAATTTACTCATTCTCTACAGAAAAGATAAGTAGTGAAAAGTTTAAGCATAATAGTATAAGTGGCAAAAAGAGGGAGTGCGCTCAATATACTAAAATATACAACTATTTTATCAAAATTATGAATTTACTGTAACTTTAGCTATTTACTTCCTCTATCCACGAATATAAGCATTCCTAGATTATTTTGATTTTAAGAGATTATGGATGAGGAAAAAAAAGACTTTGGTGTATTTTATTTAATAGGAGGGTTGGAAGTGGAAGGGTGACTGGGATAAGATGAAAGAATTTCTTTTTTAAGGTTAAAGAGGGAACTTTATTGATTAAAAAAAAGGGATTGCATTCCTTGTCTACCAAGTCTATGATTCCTGCAGGAGCACATTAATAAGATGTCACAAATAGTACTCTAAAAATACTTATCAATGAATTCAACTGCTTGGAATATTGATATTTGTGGACGGATGGAGTGTTTTAATTAAAAAAACTACACCAATGATGATGATTTATCATAGAACTACAATCTAGTTTTTTTTTTGCTAGATAGGTCAAGGCTTGTAAAACAATTTGAACCCACAAGGCATGCATACAAAGCGGCTAAAGTTGTTGTTACAGATAAGTCGTTTGCCTTTTTCATGAAATGTTTGACTAATGTTGCAACCATATGTGATATTTTTCGGCAGATAATTACAGTTTTATAATATTCACTTTAAAATATGCATATGTTACAATTATTATTTTCCATTACACTAGTCAATCCTCAACTTGTTAGCCGTGGGTTGGAAAATGCGACATGCCCTTATTTCTTTCTTTTCTTTTCGCTGGGCCAGACATGCTCTTATTTCTCACAGGAACATATATCCACAGCCACTAAATACCTCCTAGGATTCCCTTTTTCTCCCTTTTCTAGTTTTTTCTTTAGAAGAAATTAACGTGTGTTGGCTATTTGCGAAAAAAAAGTGTTTGTATGAAACATCGCACAGGTCCTCGAACCACCCAACGCCATGCTATGTTTTATCTAAAAACCCCCTGCCTTTCAGAGAAATAGAACACGAAGAATATAAATTTTTGTTTATAAGGATAGTAAATTTTGTTCCTAAGAATAGCATTGTAACCATATAAAGTATAGGGATGTCTTCGCAAAATATCCTTTCCTTAATCCCAATCCAAACCATTCCCTCTTCCATGCCAACCTCAGCGCCGCCGCCTGGCACCTTCGTCCCACGCCATATGGAGGCGGCGGCAATGGCATGCGCCGACGCTCGCCCTTCCCACCTCCCACCACCCCCTCCTCCTCGGGCACTCCTCCTACCACCGTCACCACCTCGCATAGATTGGGGGGAAAGTGGACTCAGTGGGGAGGCATGGAGGAGGTCATCGATGTGAAGGATCTCACGACTCTCAACAGTGACGGCCACAATGTGAAGTTTGCCGGTACGGGGAGCAACACGTAGCGGAGGTTGCTGTCGTCCCCGCGCAGCGCAGACCATGGATGTGTACCTCGTTGTTCCAACATTTTTGTATGCGACTTGTGAGGTAACTTTGGTAACCCTAAGAGTTTTTTTTAATTAAAAATATTGAAAAAAATTACAGGATTAAAGTACTCTAGCAACTCAAATCTCAGATGAAAAACACAGAAAAACTTAAAAACAAAAGCCGTTTGGATAGAGCCCATGTTATGAATTTTTTTAACAGGTTTATGTTTTGAGCCAATCGTAAAGAAACGTCATAGGATTTTTAATAGCTGTTCTTATGATTCATAACCATATAGAAAATTTTTTCCGTAGAATTAAATTTCTCCAAATTTCCTTTAAAAGTCTTTTGTTCTAAAGGAGGCGTTTGACAGCAATCCCGGGTCCCGGAGACCCGTCCTCGTCACACAGCTGCAGACGACAACCTCCGCCGCGCGGCAGTCCGCGGACAGCCACGTCGAGGCCACGCGCAGCCCCTCGCCTCGCCACGACACGGATCGCTTCGCCCATAAGACTTTGACGCGCCCCGCCGCCTCGCCTCGCCTCGCCTCGCCATCCAAGCCGCACCGTGTCGCGCTCGCGTATCCCGACGCCATCGAACGGCATCAGATCGGACGCCGCCCCCGCCGAAGCCGAACGCCATCAAACTTGACGCAACAGCCCATCGTCTGATCCATCCACGCCGCCTGCCTCCGCGGGAAGGAAAGGGAGAGAGAGGGAGGGGAGGCAGCCCTGCTCCTCTGCCTGCCGCCGACTGTTCGTCCGTCCCGGCGGCATGGGCGCGAACGGCAACGACGTGGTGGCGGCGGCGGCGGCGGGGGAGAGCCCGATGGGGGCCGCGAGGGTCGTCGCGGAGGGCGGGGCGACGGTGTTCCGCGGCGCGGACTACTCGCTGCCCCGCACGACGGTGGCGCTCGCGCTGTGGCTGGGCGGCATCCACTTCAACGTCTTCCTCGTCCTCGCCTCGCTCTTCCTCTTCCCCCTCCGCGTCGCCGCCATGTCCGCCCCCCTCCCTCCCTCCCGATTCGTTAAAAACTCGCCGCCTTTCCACTGCTTTTCTCTGAATCAGCGTTTTCTTGGTGCAGGGTTGTGGCGTTCCAGCTCCTCTTCATGCTCATCCCCCTCAACGACAAGGACAAATTGGGCCGCAAGATCGCCAGGAACGTCGCCCCCTTCCCTCCAATTGCTGAAAATTTCTCTCATCTTTTTCTTGGATGCTGGACTGACCGGGAGCATGTGCCGTGCTGCAGGTTCATATGCAGGTACGCGATGGGCTACTTCCCGATTAGTCTGCATGTGGAGGACTACAAGTGCTTCGATCCCAACAGGGCATATGGTGAGCCCCAAATTTGGTGATTCTATTTGTGGATGCTAATATATCGTCATCGATTCCTCCAGTTAGTTAGTTGTGGCTCTAGCTGTCGATCTCACTGTTCCCCTTTTTGTTTATGATGATGTCAAAAGGGGAAAGAGGGGGAGGAACAGATAGCAGATAATCTGTTATGCAGTTTGTGGTGTGCTGATGTTGGTGTACTGTATCTGCAGTGTTCGGCTTTGAGCCACATTCTGTGCTGCCCATCGGAGTCGCGGCGCTCGCTGATCTTGTCGGGTTCATGCCTCTACCCAAAATTAAGGTCCTCGCGAGCAGCGCGGTAAGGCCCTGGAATTGCCAGGAAGCACAATGCAACAGGTTAACTGAATTCACCACACATTTGGTGGCCCCTGTGTTCCTGATTAGTTTGTGGTGCATTTTTTAAGGTGTTCTACACACCGTTCCTGAGGCAAATATGGACGTGGTTAGGACTAATTCCTGCAACGAGGAAGAATTTTCAGTCATATCTCGGAGCTGGTTATAGCTGTATCATAGTGCCTGGAGGTGTACAAGAGATTCTTCATATGGATCATGATTCAGAGGTTTGCCTTTGCATTCATTCTGTCGATGATTTCTTTTTCCTATATTATTGATATATGTCTGCTATAGTTCCTTATCTAATTTTTTTTCAGGCAAATCCTTTACAGAATTACAAAAGGTTCATTGTCTTTGTCTTTTACAGATTGCCTTTTTGAAATCAAGGAAAGGGTTTGTCAAGATAGCTATGCAGTCTGGCTGCCCTTTAGTTCCCGTTTTCTGTTTCGGACAGGTAGCGGCATTAGTCTGGTCCATAATTTTGGATCTGTTATTTCTTTATGAAGTTTACAGAAGAAACAAGGGAATGTAGTTATGCTAGTCTTGAAACTCCAGATGCAATGAAATGGCATTACTGCTTTCTTACAAGTTCATATATAGTATTATTATTACATCATTGATTCCCTATCAGTAAATGCATATGTGCAAATTCCTATTTCTGATTATCAAACTTCTTGCTAGAGCTACGCGTACAAGTGGTGGAGACCGAAGGGCAAATTGTTTGTGAAAATTGCTAGAGCAATTAAATTTACTCCCATTGTCTTTTGGGGAAGATACGGGTAAACCGTCTTGTTTCCTGTTTGACCTGATAAGTTCCATATCTACATATGTGTTCACCTTTTGTTATATTATTATCTTACGTTAATAATTCTACTTGGCCTACTTGCGCATTCAAATGCAGGACACCAATCCCTTTCCCAACGCCCATGCATGTAGTTGTTGGCAGACCCATTGAGGTTGAGAAAAATTCTCAGCCTACCATTGATGAGGTGAAAAATGCCTTCTGATCTAAACTATTCTGTAGATCTGTTGGAAAATAATTTGGGAAAAAACTAGGGTGCCCCTGTTCAGTCTACCTCATGTGCCACATGAGCTTTCTCTTCTATAAATAAAATTAATTAGTTTGGAGTATTGGTTTAGCACAATAGCATGAACCAGTTTTATCACTGCTTAAAAGGCAAATATTCAAATTAGCTAAAGCATGTTTGTTTTTTTACTGAAAGCATGTTTGTTATTGTGGACAGATAAATGAAGTCCATGAACAATTTACTGTGGCCTTGCAAGATCTTTTCGACAAATACAAGACAGAAACTGGATATCCTGGCCTCCATCTAAGAGTCCTATGATATAATTCCAGCACTAAACTCAGGTTAGGCTTCAGGAATAACATGGCTCTACTGTAGGAGTAACCAGTAATCTAGTAGCACTTCGCACTCAGGTCGCAGTATGGTCATCTTCAGAATCTGCAGTCTGTAGCTAAGGCACGTGGTTCGTACAGCACCGCTGATGTAAAAATTGTCACTGCAGGCCGCTCATAAAGCCTTATAAAAGATGACCTTTCTCATAAATTTTATTTCCTTGTTTCGAACTTTCGATGAGTGAATGCATGTGTAAATATACACTGTGAATATCAAAATGCAACTTTGGATTGGAGGATCGTGAGATGGATGTAGAACGAAAAATGCAGCCTTTAATCTTTGTAATAAGATCGCATTTCGTACACAAAACCATGTGTTTTTTTTTGGTGGGGACTGCGTGCGATGAGATACTCTTTCGTTCTCAAAAGGATCTTGGTGAGTAGAACCCATGCAGATGATCTAATGGATTAATAGATTAAAAACCGACCTTCCCCTAAAAAAATATTAAGAAATTTATCATGACAAATTCCATATGATTATGTTTCGAACAAGTTTTATAAATAGTACTCTCTTCATCGCATAATATAAGACATGTTCATCAAATATTTAAATTTTTGACTTATAATTTCTTAAATATTATAAAGATTGTTGCAACAAAATTATAACTACATGAAACTAAATTCAAATATCAATTCAATGATATATTATTTTCAACAACAAAATTTAATTCATACTACGTATTATGCTAATGTTGTTCAAATGTTGGTCCAATATTTTACAAGTTAAATCTTAAAATACATGCGCGTCTTATATTAGGGATGAAAATAAATGCGCGTCTTATATTAGATATGAAAGGCATCTTATATTAGGGATGATAGTAGTAGTAAAATATCCATACGTTAAAACAAGCTTTAATTGTATCATATGATCTAATTATAACTAAATCATCACTCTCAAATTCTGATTAACAGCAATAGAACTAAATCACTTCCAGACTTTGATTAACAATGATAGGATAACAAATAAATAAATGGACTACTCGGTCTGTGGGAACGTATCCTCTACAATCGAGACTAGAATGTTCAGCCATTAGAATGGATACTATATATTGTACCATTAGCCATTTTCAGCCGTTAGATTAAACATGGATGGATGAGATTGATGCTGCGGTTTTCAGTAGTAAATACTACCGTACTGTTGAACAGTACTCTAGACAGTTTGGCTCGATCTCCATGTTACAGATAAACTAGGGGAGGAGGAGCATTTGTTGGGATACGCGTAGGCTACGATAACATAAATCAAAATTTTCTATCGCGTAAACCAGGAACCATGCAAGTATTTGATCATAGATCGTTACCACTCGAATGAATTCTCGCGAAGTAGCGCATGTCGATGTAGAGGAAGTAGTCGATCGCACCGGCTCGACCTTCTCCTCCTCGTGCGTTCTCCTCGCCGTACTCCCACGCCGATCAGCACGCAAACCAGCGGCGCCTCTACCGGTATCCACACGTACAGGGACGGAACGCCACGCGCAGATGTGCTAGCACCCGCGCGCGGCTAGGGTTTTGCTCGGGGAGGGAAGTGACGGCTAGGGTTTCTCACGTGATGCAATGATCCGCCGGTCACACCCCTCACGAATATATAGGATCCATCACTCGGGCCTCCAAGACCCGTAGGACTCCTGTTCGGATCCCTATCCGAATTAAGCTCATATTGGATCTCCATCCAATCCCCTTATTCCGGCCCATTAAACGTGCGACCCTGTAGGTTCATGTACACTCGGCTGTAACCCGAAAACTTCTTTTCGGTCCACGCGTCAACAGCGGCCACTAGCAGAACGTATTAACCCACCGGGCATACATAAATATCATATCGGCTGAACCTCTAGTGTATACTTTATGAACCCCTTTGCCTCACGATATCGATTAAGCTCAAGACTAGATATGTGCCATCCTCTAATAGCTCAATCATTCACTCGAACCTGTTGATAGATTATATAACTTGTGACACTTCCATAATCTACAACATCAAGGGGCCCAGAGATATCTCTCCATAGGAGGGGCAAATCCCATCTTAATTATTCATATCCCACTATATGTTTCATAGCATACCCGAAAACTATTTTTATAACTACCCAATTACGGAGTAGCGTTTAGCAATCCCTAAGTAAGCTACTACACATGTTGGGAACCATGATAATCTCAGGTCTAAGGATTCAACACCAACACTAAATGAGATCACTGATGACACAACATATATGGCTCTTGCAGTGTCTCATGTTGGGTCTATCCAACAACATGTTCACCAACATATGTCCACATTATTAATTTGGTATCTCTATACCATGATCCATGAGACATGATCATCAATTAATACATGTGCTGATCATATAAATATATTTGTTCCACATATGATATTTGATCAGAGATCCTTTAGAAATAGTAACAAACAACATAAAGAGTCTCATGAAAGAATCACATATTTATTAACCAATAATGAGTTATCTATTTCAAGGAAAAATGTCGGATAAATATATAAACATAGTATGTGATACAATCATCTCTATGATTGCCTGTAGGGCATATCACTAACAGTCTCCCACTTGCACTAGAGTCAATCATGAATGTATCTTATACCCATTGCCCTATTGTGTACCTCATGCTTAGGCTAGGGAAGTGGCTTTGTCAACGGATCTGCAACATTCAAATCCGTATGTATTTTGCATATCTTCACATCTCCTCTACCCACTATCTCGCGAATGAGGTGATACCGCCGTAAAATGTGTTTGGAATTTTGATGCGATCTAGGCTCCTTGGCTTGCGCAATGGCACCACTATTATCGCAATAGAGGTCCATAGGGCTAGAAGTACTAGTCATCACACCTAGTTGAGAAACAAATTTCTTTATCCAAACAGCCTCCTTTGCTGCTTCAGAAGTGGCAATGTATTTGGCTTCTATTGTAGAATCAGCCACTGTATCTTGCTTGGAACTCTTCCAACTCACAGCGCCTCCATTTAGGCATAACACAAATCTAGACCGCGATCTAAAATCATCTTTGTCGATTTGGAAGCTTGCGTCAGTGTAACCATTTACAACGAGCTCTTCCTGTCCTCTATAGACTAGGAACATATCCTTAGTTCTTCTCAAGTACTTCAGGATATTCTTTACAGCTATCCAGTGATTCTCAGCTGGATCTGATTGGTATCGGCTTGTTGCACTATGTGCATATGAAACATCTGGACGTGTACATAGCATAGCATACATGATGGATCCGATTGCTGAGGCATATGGAATCACACTCATCTTATTTCGCTCATCAGTCGTTTGAGGACACTGATTCTTGCCAAGATTAATGCCATGTGACATCGGTAAGAAACCTTTCTTAGAATCTTGCATGTTGAACCTCTTCAACACCTTGTCAATGTATGTACTCTGGCTTAATCCAATTAACCTCTTTGATCTATCTCTATAGATCCTTATGCCCAGAATATATGCTGCTTCTCCTAAGTCCTTCATTGAAAAACTATTTTTCAACGATGTCTTAACAGATTCAAGCATAGGAATATCATTCCCAATCAATAATATGTCATCTACATATAGGATTAGAAACACCAGTGCGCTCCCGCTAATCTTCTTGTATACACAAGGCTCTTCTTCATTTTTGACAAAGCCCAACGCCTTGACTACTTCGTCAAAACGAATATTCCAACTCCGAGATGCTTGCTTCAACCCATAAATGGATTTCTGCAATTTGCATATCTTTTTAGCTAATTGTGGATCAACAAATCCCTTGGGTTGTGTCATGTACACATCCTCATCAAGATTTCCATTGAGGAAAGCTGTTTTGACATCCATTTGCCATATCTCATAATCAAAATAGGCAGCAATCGCTAAAACAATCTGAATAGATTTTAGCATGGCGACTGGCGAGAAAGTTTCATCATAATCAACACCTTGAATTTGTCTGAAACCTTTCGCCACCAATCGTGCCTTGTAGATGTGAACATTTCCATCTACATTGTCTTTTTCTTAAAGACCCATTTGCACTCAATAGCTTTTACACCATCAGGTGGATCAACCAAGTTCCAAACTTGATTGACATGCATGGATTCTATTTCGGATTTCATGGCTCCAAGCCATTTCTTAGAGTCTGGTCCCACCATTGCTTCCTCATAGGTAGTAGGTTCATTGTTGTCTAACAACAATATATCACGTTGTTCTGTAGTTAACAACACATACCTCGCAGGTGTACGCCGTATCCTTTCAAACCTTCGTGAAGCTGGTGCTTCCACAACTGGTTCAACAACAACTTGTTCTTGAACAACATCTTGCTCAGCTTGTTGTGGTTGTGTGCATGTTGAAGCGTTTTCCGGTGTTTCCTGAATTTCTTCAAGTCGCACCATGCTCCCACTATCCTTTCTTGAAATAAACTCTTTTTCCAAGAAAACACCGTGTCGGGCGACAAACACTTTGCCCTCTTCCCGATTATAAAAATAATATCCTTTCGTTTCCTTAGGATACCCCACAAAGAAGCATTTATCTGATTTAGGTGTGAGTTTGTCCGATTGCAAACGTTTTACATACACCTCACAACCCCAAATCTTTAGGAAAGACAAACTGGGACACTTCCCTATCCATATCTCATATGGTGACTTATCCACTGATTTTGATGGAACTCTGTTTAGTGTGAATGCAGCTGTCTCTAGAGCGTAACCCCAAAAGCTTAACGGTAGATCAGTTTGGCTCATCATTGATCGCACCATGTCCAACAATGTACGATTCCTCCGTTCAGACACCCCATTCCACTGAGGCGTTCCTGGCGGAGTGAGTTGTGGAACAATTCCACACTCCTTTATATGATTGCCAAATTCAAGGCTCAAGTACTCTCCACCACGATCAGATCGTATATACTTGATTGTCTTGCCCAAATGATTTTGTACCTCACTCTGAAATTCCTTGAACTTTTCAAAGGACTCAGACTTATGCCTCATTAAGTAGACATAACCATATCTACTAAAGTCATCGGTAAAGGTAATAAAATACCCAAAACCACCTCTGGCAGTTGAGTTCATTGGTCCACATACATCAGTAAGTACTAGTCCCAATAGTTCACTTGCCCTTTCACTTTGACCCGTGAAAGGTGCCTTTGTCATTTTGCCAAGTAAACAAGATTCGCATGCCTCAAATGATTCAAAATCAAAAGAGTGTAGAAGTCCATCTCTATTAAGCTTCTCCATGCGTTTCTCATTTATATGACCCAAGCGACAATGCCAAATAAAAGTGAGATTCAAATCATTAGGACGT